CACGGCTGCAGGGTCGGGGTCTCAGGGCTCCGCACCGTCAGGTCACAGAAATATCTGGAAGGAGATTTAGTTTCAGTTTTTGGACTACAACGGTGAGATATTGGACAAAGTGGCTGAAGCAGCAGAGAAAAAATTTAAATGTTATACTCTGGTGCCAACATTTCCATCACTTACAGGAAGTTCATGCCTGAGAAACGGTCAGTCGTCTCTCTGCAAATATATATATATATTTACAACCTGCAATTAGTAGCATTACTGTTTTCTTATTTGAGTCCTGCTCTCTGGGGTTTTCTCTTCTTTATTTGAACTGTGACTGTTACTGCTGCCTGTTACATTTACAAAGATACTGAAAACATTTACAGGGAGAAAAATTACACCCAGAATTGATTCAATTCGACAACTTGGCTGAAACACATGAATAAATCAACGGATGTCAGCAAACTGAACTGAAGGCTTTTAGATTCAGACGTTTTCTCGGTTTGAATTGTCAGGAAGTCTCCGGAGAAGATTCCTGGACGTAGGGAGAGACGTCACGGAGTTTGCTGACGTGTCAATAGAAGAGACGGAAGAAGACGAAGAAGAAGACGAAGAAGAATTTGAATTATACATAAAGGATTCAGATCACCGTTGTCGGTATTTACTTACAAAGTGAATGGATCTGTTCACTAAGTTATGGCGGGTGTTCTGTTTGTTGTAAAACCAACACACAACAGCCTAAACCCAACCCAGTGACATGCAGATATAAAAAAGTAGCAGCAGCAGCAGAACATTGTTCAAGAGTTTGAACAATGTGTAAAATACACTGCAGTAAACGACAGAAGCAACAAGAGACGACGATCTGTGTTGTTCAAACTTTACACCTCAGTAAGACCACAGTTCACCACTGTGTGGTGATCGTGAACCTCGTCCACGGAGTGGTTACAATTTGTTTTCATCTAAAATGTCCACACACTAGGTCTTAAGGACGGAGGTCGGAATTAAACTGCACTGTGTCGATGTAATAAGAAATGCACCAAACATAGTACTGCTTCTTTATTAGTCCATTTACGATCTGACTTTTCTGTGGATTCGTGTCAGTCTATTACACTACACAGACCGTGTTTCACTGCTGGACTCAAACCCCTGACCTTCTAAACAGATGATTGTCCCCTGTACCCACTGCTAAAGCCACTCTGACCCATTAGGCTTGCTGTATGAATTCATAATGTGTGTGTGTGTGTGTGTGTGTGTGTAACACGACACTGCCATCAGCAGTTCAGCCATCTAGTGACCACAATCACTTTGTCCTCAAACCCAAGAGCGGAAATACACAGATCACATTACTGGAAAAAAATAACCCACCAATCACAAATCACCACTTTGACGAATGAGATACGTGTGTTATTTAATGATATTATCAGATGTAACGATATGACATCACACAATAATCCAATAATATGACATGGTCACGGAGCTTTAATGAGATTAGGAGAGTGCGACCAGGTAGTAGTGACTCACACACGAGTTTTCATTAGTATTTCTAACAACTTGTAGTAAAAGGTGGTGTGGCTGGAGCTGAGTGCGTCTCCCGGACAGATGGTAGTGAGATCTGCTATGATGAGTCTACAGGACAGAAGACTGGAGAGGGCGGAGATTATGAGAGTTTCTTTTTGAGTCATTCTGAGTTCCAGGATGGAAAGAAGTTTACAAAAGAGGGGTTGAAGATAAAGTCTGGAGATAAGACAGTGGAGGTACTGGACACTAGAGAAGACCCCGGAGAAGATGAATGGACGTAGAGGAAGAGACATGGAGGTGGGTGGTGTAACAGTAGAGGAGATGTAGGCGAGACTGGGGTGGAGGCAAATGATGTGGACTGGTGACTCATGAAGGGTGCAGCCAAAAAAGAGGAGGTGGACGAAATCAGATGAATCTGTGGGGAAGGGATTAGAGCAGAGAAGAAGAAGAAGAAGAAGAAGAAGAAGAAGAAGAAGAGGAAGAAGAAGAAGAGGAAGAAGAGGAAGAAGAAGAGGTGGGTAAGGAAAAGAATGAGAAATCAAAACACAGTGAAGGAGAAGTCAAAGGAGGAGTGGAAAAAATATTAGGACACAAGATGGGAGGAGGAATATCAGTGAGTAAAAAGGGAAGGAGACAATGTAAAGAAGAGACAAAGAGTGGAGGATGAGGAAAGGATTGATGGCATTTCTTGTTAAAAAGAGAAAAGGACAAAGAGGCACAGAAGCCAGACATCAACATCGTTTCAGAACTTTAATTTCATGTCGACCAGTGAACCCCTCTGGTATTTGAACTCATCACAACATAAACACAAACAAACGATGGACATCTGTCTAGAAAAAGTTCTAAACTTCCTGACCAGATTGTTAGTTTTGTTTGACGTTCATTCACCCACACATACTGTACATCTGCTCTCCTCAGTTCATCCATCACCGGACACGGAGCATCCATCGGAAAAGTTAATGAGTAAACTGCCTGATCTGACTAATGCACACAGATGAATGAATACATACTTTTACTGATAATTTAAAAAAACATCTGCACTGCAGTAAAATGCTCATAACAATCAAATCAATTACATTACATTAAACCTTTTTTAAATGGAATAATGTGATAAAAAAGCCCCTCGTGACGAGGAAAAATCAATTAAAACGTCAGACCACGAACACATGTAGAGCTCAGATGGTGTGTGTGATGTCTGAGCAAACACAGAACGAAAGCATTCAGACATTCTGGAAGACATCCCTTTAATTACAGTTTCCTTTAAGAGTCTGAGTCAGAGGCGGGGTGAGCACAGAATCCGAGGGAGCAGCGAACTCAGAGGATCAGCATCTGGACATTGACAACTGTGGACCACCTCAGGAAGGATGACTCCCACAACTACCAGGTATTTACCACTAGTTTATAATCATTTATACTGAAAAAGTGTATAAAAGGTTCAGGGTTAGATAACTTTTTATTCCCGGTGGAAAATTCCATTTGGAGGAAAAAACTCTGTCTGTTAAATACAAGTGATCAGACAATAAGAAGTTGTGTTTGGATGAGAGGAGTTTGGACACCAGCGGGTCAGTCTGATACGGAGAAACTGGACAGATGGAGACACGTGTCTTTGGTGTCTCCTCTGGTTCTTTTTAATCTCACCACATGTGAAGCAGCAGCAGCAGCAGCAGTGATATGAGAGTCTGTGTGGAAAGACTGGAAAATTGAATAACTGTGTTGTGGTGGAACCAGCATCTAAAAAGATAAGCAGGATGATTGGGTTGACTTTTCCATTGGGTTTATTTTTTAAATTATTTTTCACTTTTAAAATTTGGGTTTATTTTTTAAATTATTTTTCAATTTTAAAATACTGACTGTGTATAATTATTGTATTTATAAAAAATATAATGTTATTTTTTATTAGAAATATATTGAATATGTATTCTCTTCCTGAACTGTCTTTTTATTTATTTATGTATTCATTTATTATTTGTTTTATTTATTTACTGCTTTACTTACTATCTTCTCATCCAATTTTCTCTTGGTTTGTTTTTACCGTTTGTTGAAACATGTTTTTCAATGCTTAATAATTGTTTTTAATTTTTTTTAATTTTAAGCACTTAACAACTTTTGACAAATACTTGTGCAGTACATGTATTATTATACACAAACGTATTTTTCTCAAACATGATGAGAAAGGAAACAGTGACGATATTCAACTCTACACAAATTGACCATCTCTTTTGCGTAACGTATATCTTCTGTACAGATGACAGAATAAGTCGGTCATGTCTCTGGTCTTATGACATATTATGAAGCACAACACCAAGCACCCCCCAGGGGAGAGACGCGGAAGAGCTTCGAGTCTGTTGCTCATTAGTGGTCAATGTACATCTGCTCTGAGGGACGGTGGAGATTATGGGTCGACGTACTCTATGTGCTCCTTCCTTCTCCATCTATAGTTGAGGTGTGGCGACTTCCTCTTTACGTAAGGTGGTTGGAATCGGTCATACTTTTTTTAAAATTTAGATAAAACATTTTTTATTTAATACATTAGGAAAAATGTCAGCTTTTTTTATTAATAGATTAAAGTTAACTCAGCAGTTAAGGGTTAGCATGCAGCTACTTGGTTTGTTTGGTTCTTTGTAAGTTAACAAATACATGTACAAAACAAGTTCAAATAAAACAAATATAACAATAATAATAACTAATACACACGTATGAAACTGCGCCACAAACCCATCATTCACCCAGAGGTCAGGGGATCAAATGTTGGATGTGTAATTAAACTGGCAGATGTATTTGTCACAGAGCTGACAATGAGTATTTACAAAAATCAAAAGAATAAATAATGATCAAAATCCAAAGAAAATCAGAGTCTGGAAAATGATGTAACCTGCAGATGTTTCTTATTTTATTTAACTATTTTATTTTACTGGAAAATTTTGGTCAGGACTTTCTGAAGTTTTTTCTTTTTTTTTATATTTGGTCGTGCTGTGAGCAGCTGCGTGTGGACCAAATCAAACACCCAGATGTTGTCACTAATGTTTTGTTACTTCACAACAAAGTAGTAAAACATTGAAAAACTCATTTTAACAAAACACTCACACATTATTATTATTTTTTTTTTGTGTGTTGACAGTGTCCCTGAACTCATCACGGCAGCTTTATACGGCGGCCATAACACCTCCGAAAACATCACTAACAGCACAGAGTGTCCCGACCACGAGGGCTGGGAATGGCTGGACGCCAGTCAGCCGGTGTACATCATGCTCATCACCGTGCTGGGAATCGTGCTCAACGTCTTCGTCCTGATGGTTTTCTTTTTTCACAAGAAACCCTGCACCGTGGCCGAGATTTACCTGAGCAACCTCGCGGCCGCAGACCTGGTCCTGATGTGCTGTCTGCCCTTCTGGGCCGTCAACGTGTCCAACGGCTACAACTGGCCCTTTGGTCGCGCCCTGTGCAAAATGGTCAACATGGGCATTAAGCTCAACATGTTTGGCAGCATCTACTTCATCGTTCTAGTCAGCATAGACCGCTACATCGCCCTGGTGCATCCTATGTCCCACGGCAGGATGAGGAGGCCTAAGTATGCCAAACTGGCCTGTTTCCTGATGTGGTGCCTGGGCTTCATCCTGAGTATTCCCACCATCATCTACAGGGAGGTGCAGTACTTCTCTGAATACGACGTCAACGCCTGCTTCTTGGACTACCCGAACGACACGGTGTGGTTGAACTTAGACGGGATGCTGGTCATTTTTGGTTTCATCATCCCCATTTCGATCATCTCCTTCTGCACCATCAAAATCATCCGGGCGCTGAAATCCCAGGCAGTGGAGCGTTTCAGCGCAGAGAAGACGGAGCAGAGAGCCACCACCCTGATACTGGCCGTGCTGCTGGCCTTCCTCATCTGCTGGGTGCCGTTCCACATAGTCACCGTCGTGGACCTGCTCCTAAAGGTTGGATCCCTGAGGTTATGCTCCCTGTCGGCCGCCCTGGAAATCTGCAACCAGATCTTCACCTACCTCGGCCTCTTCAACAGCGCCCTCAACCCTTTACTGTATGTCATTGTGGGGAAGAACTTCAGGAAAAAAGCTCGGGAACTCTTCAAGCAGTGGAACATTAAGAGAATTGGCACCTTCGAGTCCTCCAGCTCACAACTGTTTCCCACCGTAAAGACCGTCACCTGAGACATCACTGGCAACTGCATGAGTCCAGGTGAAAACAGGAATTTGAATTATGATGTATTTGCCTGATTTTTTTTTTATAATCACATCTGCATGGAAAAAGTAAGAAAAGCACTGAAGACACCTGGGACAGACATGTTTTAACAACCTTAAAATACTTTAAATATTGGCCTTTTTGCCAATTCAAACACCCTGTGTGTCATTAGGAATTGTCAAGTAAGAATGTCTACAAGAAAAATATTAGAACATTTGGTCCAAACTCAACAAAGATTTTCTAGTCATTCTAGGTCCAGTATGAAAACAAAAAAGAAAATAACAAAGATTTTCTAGTCATTCTAGGTCCTGTATGAAAACAAAAAAGAAAATGGGATAAAAACATCCCTTGTTTTGAATTACACCTAAACATCTGGTCCAACATCAGGTGTGATGTCCGACTTTGCTGCAACAAAGCAAAACTGGGAGAAGATTGACATTATTTTAAAATCCTTAAAATATCATTACATCTGCTGTGCAACATTAAGGGCATTATCTGATCATCTCTAAAGAATATTTTGCTTATGTTAAGCTCAGTATATTTTATTTTTATTCAATTTTGACCCGTCAAAAAAAAGGTTTGGGCA